CACAGCTGTCAGATACCAAAAGGATTTAACAGTCGGTTCAACAAAACCATGCAAAGCGGTTCACCAGATACTCTGATACTTGGCCTAACATCAAAGAATCTTTATCACGCATGTCAGGCTTGATCATGTAAATTTTCAGGTAAAATTAAAAAATGAATTTAAGACGCTTCAACCAAAAAAGTTTAAGAATTTATCTGTGGGAACAGATAAAAAAACAAATGCTACTTAACACCATTTCACTCTGCCAACCAACAGTCACTCTATTTACCTATCCCCTACCCTAAGAGACTTCAAAAAACGGGGGTGGCTCGTTATTAAAAGGTTATTACGGATCAAGTTCTAGGCCTTGGAAATCACAAGAATTCCTGTCAACCACAATGTACTAATCGTAAATGGAAGTTGGCTTCCTTCACTAATTAAATACAATCTTCACATTTGCAAATGTCCCCCGTACCCAAAACGCCAGAGATAAATGCTGTGTCACTGAGAAAAAAAAGACAAGTATTTTTCTGAAACCAAAGGGAAACTATCAAAGAAGGACGCTAACTTGTGCCCTCGGGCTATTCCAATCCCTACAAAGGCAGCCAGAAATGTGCTAAACCCATGTGCTGCCAGGCAGCTTCCGTCTAATGGGAAGCCCCCTGACCCGCACAGCTAGTCAAGGAAAGGCTGCACCCGCTGGGTTCCAGCCTCATAGCCCAGGGCTGCTTCTCACCATTTCCAAGTGAGCACCGGGGCCATCGGGATGTCCGCTGCCCGGGGCCGGACTGGCCCTGCCCTCTGGGGTCTTCCGTTCGCTGTTGCGCTTTAAACCGCCGGCGTCGCCTCGGCCCCCAGCCTCCCGGCGCCGCCTCTGCCGGCTCCACAGGTACATGGCACCTGCGCCCAGCAGCAGGGGCGCCCCGACTGCCAGCGCCAGCTGCCATCGCGGTAGGCCCCCAGTGCCGGGGCCCGCAGTCGCGCCGCCGCCGCCCACCCCACTCCCGGAGCTGGGCGCAGCCGCCGCGACCACCGCCGCCTCCACAGGCTTAGAGGCGGCCATGACAAGTGTCCTCCGCCACCGCCTCCCTGCTGGTCGCGGGCGCTTCAGTCACCAGGTAGCGTGCGAAGGAAGACCGGAGGGAGGGAAAGAAGGCAGTGGGCGAGCGAGCACGCTAGGCAGCGAGAGCGGACGACAGAAAAGGGCCAGAGGTCACCGGAAGCCTAAGGCATGCCGGGCCAGACTCGGCCGTCCTTTTCCTCCCTTCTCAACCATGGGGAGGGAGGGGGCGGAGAGAAGAGGGGAAATTACTTCCGGGTCAGGGGGAACAGGGCGGGAGTGGGGGCGTTGTGAGTGGCCCTTTCTCTATCGTTTTGCGCCGCTGCTGTTTGTCAGACTAGCTTCCAGGGCCTTGGGCCTCCGGTGAGGGAGGGCCCTCTTATTTGGGGAAGTGGAGGAGGGACGCTTATACAGCGGATCTATGCTGCGCAGGCGAACGGCGGAGGCTCTGCAGTGGTCCTAAGAACGGGTGGGAGTGGTGGAAGAGTTGTGAATGTTATTGGTTGGCAGGAGTGGTGGGCGGGGCGTAGCCTGAGTAGCCCGGTTTATTGGTGGAATTTGGGCTCCGTTTTCCTATTACCGCCACGTAGGTGCTTCTTAGACCTTTGGGAACGGTGGTTTGGTTATCCGTTTGGACGTTCGGGAAACCAACGGATTAGAAGGACTGTTAAAGGTGTGTGAAGGAAGAACTCAAAGCTAGAGCTAGCCTGTTGTATTACCAACTCTCTTATTTCTACCGTGGCCGGATTTTAGTTTGAAGGAATTTGAGATTACTGGGGGCAACAGCAGATAGCAGAAATCAGACTGGGTGGAAACGGGCAAATCTAAATTGGCTTCCGCCAAAACGGCTTGAACGGAGTCCCTGCGGTTCACCGTCTGCACCAGTTACGAAAGCGATGACGTCTGTGTGTTGTTAATGAAGTTCTGAGTGGGTGGAAATGGAAGACCCAGAGTTCCCACCTGCTTGCAGCTTTCCTATACGTATTTGTGCCTTGTGCTGGATTTCTCTTGACATCCCAGCCCACGTCGCGATCCCTGGAGCACCCGCGCCCTCCGCAGTGCTCTGATCCGCCTACTGCCTTGCGAGTTTTGCACTAGCTGTCTCAGCCTTCTTGCTTCATTCCCAAACGGAAATTTCAATTCATAGCTTTCATATATTGAATAGCTTTGTCAACTCCTTTCCCCATGCTCTGCACCAGACATTTTAAAATACAAGAGTGTCCTTTGCAAGGAATTGCTGGAATTCATAGTATTTTCAGTAAGAAAAGACAAGTATTAATAGAGAATGAATCCAGAACTGTGGCTCCCATTTCAAGTATACTGGTCTGCAGCCCCTTATATTAAAAATTTACAAAGGGTCATTTTGCTTTTGGGCACAAAGAATTTTCAACATCACAGTAGAGCTACATAAAGATTGAAAGATAATTTATTAAGTGGCACAAAAATAGACGGATTAAATTAGAATGGCCTAATTCAAAGATTTCAGGATCGTTGCTTTTCTCCTGCTTCATGTGGGTTCCTATTAGTAAATTGCTTTCAGGTAATAGGGTTCCTCAGCAAAAGACTAAAAAGATGAGCTAAAAATAATAGCAATAGAATTGAGTTGATCAAATAGTTATTGTTGCAGGCAATCATCTTTTCTTCCTTCCTGATTCCCCCCAGAGGAAAGTCTTCTGGCCCTTAATCCAATTTCTCCCTTGCCATTTCAGAACAGAGTTAGGATTTTTCTTTACTGAAATATCCATTTTTCTGCAGCCTCGGGGGATTGTAGAATGCTAGTAATTACTATTGGTAGGAACTAAGTCCTTTGAAGTTTTTTTTTTAACTTATTTATTGGAATAGGTAACATTGTTATGGTTGCAATCCAAAAGTTATGAAGGGGTTACTGTGAAAAGTCACCCAGTTCCCCTCTTCAAAGGTGATCAGTGTTAGAATTTCTTGAAACACTTTGTTTAATTAATATTTGTCTAAAAGGCTGCTTTTATTGGTTTTATTTTTAAGATCGGCATCAGTAAATGAATTTGTTCTTGTTACTTTTGTTATTTGTTGAACAGACCATTTTCATTCTCTAGCCTATTCATCTCTTTTCTCCCATTTTGTCCATCATTTCCTAATTGATTATAGTGTAGAACTGAGTAAGAATGTCATCAGTTGTATGACTTTATTGACCTGATGCATAAATTTCTGAGCTCTGAAATAGTGAAAACATACCTCTCACATCTATATGTGAAAGATTTAATTAGATAACATTTAATTTCTTTTTAGGATATTGTTTGTTACAAAATAGCAGACATTCACTGCTTAGTTTTCTGTTTTTCTGAATTTTAAAGGAGAGAAGTAAAATTGTCTCTAAGAAAACTGAAATTTTGTATATGTGAACATAGAGATTTTCTTTTTCCTGCTAGATTAATGGAACTCAATAGATTTCTTCACCTCTTTTCTGGTCTATCTGGTCAGTTGAAATGAGGTAGAACAGCTAATGGACTGGGATGCAGGAGACCTGAGTTCTTTTTTTTTTTTTAAGATTTTATTTATTTATTTGACAGAGACAGTGAGAGAGGGAACACAAGCAGGGGGAGTGGGAGAGGGAGAAGGAGGCTTTCTGCTGAGCAGGGAGCCCGATGCGATGCGGGGGTCGATCCCAGGACCCTGGGATCATGACCTGAGCTGAAGGCGATGCTTAACTACTGAGCCACCCAGGCGCCTTAGACCTGAGTTGTTATTCTAGATTTTAATACTAAGGAGCTATGTGTGTGACTGGGGGCACCAATGTGACCAGTGGATTAGATGATTTCTAAGTCTCCTCCTAGCTTTAAAATTGTATGATTATATCCCCTCAATTGTTATTGCTACATGAAAGGCTTTCTTATTGGTAGAGTTGGTAGATAGCTGCTTGATTGGTGTTCAAGCCTTCCAGTGAGTCCACAGACATATTAAGCACATACATACACATTTGGATTCTCTCTCAACTTTTCCTTAGGTTTCCATTCTCTATTTTTCTTCACTGCAAAATGACTGGAAAGAATTGTTTATGCTTGTTACCTCTATTTATTTATCATCCATTTCATCCAAAATCTCTTATAATCTGGTTTCTAACTTTATTACTAGTCTGAAACTACCTTAAAGGTCACTTAATTCATTGTTTGTTTTTGGCCTTCATATGCTTTTACTGAAGCACATGATACCATTGGTTAGTCCCTTCTTGAAACGTTGTTTTCCCTGGCTTTCAGGAGACTAAATTCTTCTGGTTCTACTCTCTGACCAATTTCTAGATAAATGCTGTCCAATAGAACTTTCTGTGATGTTGGAAGTGTTTTATATCTGTGACATCCAATATGATGTCTAATAGCCACATATGGCTACTAAGCACTTGGAGATATAGCTAGTGTGACTCAATTTTTCATTTTCATTTAAATAGACATAGCCCTTTTTACCTTGTTTTATAGAATTATACTTGTCCTGCCTCATCTGTTATACTGTAAGCATCCCAAATCAGAAGCTATGTCTGATAACTTATCTTTTTATCTTTTATGGTGCCTAACATAGTGTCTCCAATAAAGCTATATGTCAGAGCAAAGGACTATGTTTTTTCTTTTTGCGTTGGACCTATACAACAGTATAATTTTTTTCCTCACAACTCCCACATTGCCACAATTATTTGTTCTCGTGTGCCACCCATACTCAGTTCTGAGTCCTTGAGGGGTAAGAATCATGTTCTAGTTGTCTTTGTGCTCCTGCATCTGTTACATGGCTGGGCACACAATAATTATTTATCCATGCGACATAATACCTGAAATGTGGTCAGTGCTGAATAAAGAGTTGATGAAGCGTTTGTTGAACAATTCCCTGACTGCTGCTTCATTTCCATTACTGTTGCCAGCGTGAATGGTCTGGAGCCACCACTGCTGTCCAACCACTGGTATCAGCTAAGAAACCAACTCAATTGCTGCCACTGCTGCCTTCACCAGGAATAGTCTGCTTCCATTACCACCATCATCCTGTCTATTGGTTTCCAGTCCCAAGCATGCTGTAGTCAGTTACCATCTGCACCGCTGTAGCTGCTTCCATTGGGATCTGATTGGTTTGTCCTTCATACCCCACTTACGATATATAGAAGTCTGAGTTTCCTCTGAGCCCTCGTGCTGTTAATTTTTCCCCAATTTTTCTCCTGATGGTTTCTGCCTTATTCAACTTCCATCAAAGCATCAGTTGAGTGGGTGGTACTTCTTTGTTTCTCAGGGGGAATGTCACTTGATGATTCAATCAAGTGGCTGTTCTTTTTGCTGTCAGAAGGAGCCTCTGCATTTATCTTCAGGGAACAATCTACAGTCACCCTAGCTCCCTCTCCTTAGCTGTGACTGATGGCGCATACATGTATTTTATGCACTCATTTGTCACCTTTCCACCCACTCACCGATTTGTAAGATCTATCTCATCAATCCTCGTCAACTTAGTTCATCACCACCCACAAGAATTTGTGTCATTTGCAAATGTAGAAATGTTGCCTTGCTTATACTTCTAAAGATATTACATATAGATTACGTGAATTGTGCCCTGCACAAGGATGCTAGAGCAAGTGGGGGCTGAGGTCTGGCCTGCACTTTTTTCCTCACAGTCTGGTATCCAGCTGTGTCTGCCTGGAGAAAAGCGCTCCATTTTCTGAATAGCATGAAGATACTGGCCCATCACTAAGTGATGGGCCTGCAGTGGAGTATCCACCAATAAAGGGTACCATTGTCAAATTCATTTCTATTAGACTAGTAGCCTTGGTTATGCAGACTTGATCTTAGCATGGATCTAGCACTGAACCTGAAGTCCTCTAGGCTATTCTTCCCTATCTTTACCTTTTGTTGTTTTTCCAAACCAGTGAAAACTAGCCTCAAATCCAACAATGAGGAGGAGACTTCATTTTGTTAAATTATGAAAAAATGTAAAACCATAAAAAAATAGTTTCTGTGCCTAGGTTCTGGTTATCTATTGCTGCTTAACAAACTATCCCAAGTGGCAGTGGCTTAAAACAACGATTTTATTACATCTTAAAGTTTTATTGCTCAAGAATTTGGGCAAGGCTTGATTGACTCTTCTCTTGGTGTCAAGAGTTTATTCTTCTGGCAGATGGACTAGTCTGGAGGGCTCAAGACAGCTTCACTCAGTGTCTCACACCTTGGTGCAAATGGCTCGAAGACTGGAGTGATTTTAGACTATGTGGGGGGGGCACCTTCTTGTGGCCTTTCCAGCATGGCATGTGGCAGCTAAGGGTTCTTAGAGAGAATGTCCCAGGAGCCCTAGGCAGAAGCTGCATAACTTTCCAAAACATCACTCTGCCACCTTCTATGGACCAGGCATGTTACTAAGGCCAGCACAGATTCATGGGGAGGTGAATTAGACTCCAACTGTCAATGGGAGAAGTAGCAAAAAAGTTGCAATTCTTTTAAATCTACCACCATCTTCCACTAAGATTTAACCAATGTTACAATCTTGCCATATTTGCCTGTGACATAGAAAAACATTTTTATTATAGAACCTTGATAAAGATCACCTGGAAGTCTAAATAAATGATCATACCTCATAGTGAAATGTTAGTACTTTTCTCTTTGAAGTCAAGAACCAGTTGGGGATTCCAGGTTCTATTACATGGTACTGAAGATGTTAGCCAAAATAATAAGACAAAAAAAGGAAATAAAAGGAGATTGGAAAGAAAGAAGTAACTTTTCATTATTTATAGACAATATGGTTGTCTCCATAGAAAATAAAAAAAAAAGTATAATTTACTAGAATTAATAATTTAGCAATGTTGCTGGATAAAAGATTAATGCTGTTCTCAAATTGGTCCCTTATGTTTTCCAAACTATTGGCTATTTTGTTGTTCTCCTGTTCTCAGGTCTGGCAGTTGCCTTGTTGCTTTCTTTTCCTCCTTCATGGACAACTATTCCAGCTCTTAGCTGTTGGTGGTTTGACCCCACACTGTCCACTTGGGAGTGGAGTACATCTTGTCACCAGTATTTGCTGTAGGGTTGGCCATGGATATTTTCCTTTCCAATTGCTCTATTGGTTTTTATGTGGGGATTCAGAGAGGTTGAAAAGCTATGCTGTCTTCATTATTATTTTCCCAGAATACCTCTAGCTCAATAGCATTTTGATCTTGTCTCTACTCATTTAGAGAAGTTTCTTTTTCTTGTTACTAGGCATTTTTCTTTTTACCTTTATTATGACATAATTATGGTTTCACAGGAAGTTGCACATGGAGGTCCCATGTACCTTTTATGCCACTTTTTCCAATATTAACAACTTGCATAACTATAGGACAATATTAAAACCAGAAAATTGACATTGATACAATCCAAAAAATTTATTCAGATTTCACCAGCTATACACACACTCCTTGTATGTATGAGTTACAGTTCTGGGCAGTTTTAACACATTTCATGTAACTACCACTGCAATCAAAATATAGAACTGTCCCATCAGCACAAGGCTCCCTCATGCTGAACTTTTATAGCCAAAACCCCCCTGCTCCAAACCCTTAACCCTTGGCAATCACTAATCTGTTCTTCTTCTCTGTGACTGTGTTATTTCAAGTATGCTATATAAAAAAATTATATAGTATGTATTCTCTCGAGACTCAACTTTTTCACTCAGCATAATTCTCTTAAGGGCAATCTAAATTGTTGTGTATATCAAATCTGTACATTCATGTGTCGGTTTTTGCATGAACATAGGTTTTAATTTCTCTAGGGTAAATACCCAAGAGTGCAATTGCTGGATCATATAGAAGTTGCATTTTTAGTTTTAAAACAAACTGGTAAACTATTTTCCAAAGTGACTGTACCATTTTTAAGTCCCATCAGCACCATAAGAAGGATTTAACTTCTCTGCTTCTTCTCCAGCATTTGGTATTGACACTATTTTTAAAAGTTTTATCCATTCTGATAGGTACTTATAGTGATATCTGATTTTGGTTTTAATTTTCATTGACCTGAGGGGTAATGATGTTGACATCTTTCGATGTGCTTATTTGCTATCTATCTTTTTCAATGAAATGTCTTTAATGTCTTTTGCTCATTTCCTAATTGGATTGTTTGTTCTTTTAATGTCAAATTTTGGAGGCTATTTATATATTCTAGAAACTAGTTGGATATGTTTGCAAATGCAAATATTTTCTCCCAGTCTTCAGCTTGTCTTTTCATTTTCTTAACAGGGTCATTTACAGAGCAAAAGATTTGAAAATGATGAGATCTAGTTAATTAGTTTTTCCTTTTATGCATTATACATCTAGTGTGAAATCTAAGAACTCTTTGCTTTGTTTCCTTTTTAAAAAAATTTTTAAGATTTTATTTTTAAGTAATCTCTACACCCAGTATGGGGTTGAACTCACAATCCTGTGATCAAGAGTCACAGTCTCCACCAACTGAGCCAGCCAGGCACCCCTCTTTGCCTAGTTCTTGATCTCAAACGTTTTCTTCATTTTTTTCCCTAAAAGCTTTATAGCTTCACAATTTATGTTTAAGTCTGTGATCCACTGTGAGTTAATTTTTTTGTGTAGGGTGGGAGACATAGGTCAAGATTCATGTTTAACTTTTTTTTAAAAAACAGGGTGAATGCAGGTGCACACACCCCGCTGGATGGCTGCTAGAAGATTCATTTTTAAAACTGTGAATGTCCAATTGTTCCAGCACCATTTGTTGAATAGGTTTTTCCTTAGTCCATTGAATTGTTTTTGCACTTTTTCAACATTTAGTTCAGATATATATATCTGTATCTGTTCCTGGATTCTCTATTCTGGTCCAATGGTCTATGTGTATCTCTATCAACACCACACTGTCTCTATTATTGTAGCTATACTGTAAGCCTTAACATTCAATAGCATGGTTCTCCCACTTTACTCTTCATTTTCAGAATTGTTTTTGACTGTTTCATGTCCTTTAGAATTTCTATAAACTTTAGAATAAGTTTGTATGTCTACAAACACCTGGATAGGAATTTGTATTAAACCTAGAGGTCAGTAGGGGGAGAATTGACATCTTTACTCTATGGAGTCTTTTAATTCATGAGTAAGCCTTTCCATTTCTTTAGTCTTCTTTGATTTCTTTCATCAGGTTTTTGTCATTTTCAGAATACAGATTCTGTACATGTTTTCTTAGATTTCACTTTCTTTGGGGGGGCAATTATAAATGATATTGTGATTTTAATTTTGATTTCCACATGTTCATTTTTAGTATGTAGAAATGCAATTAATTTTTCTTTGTATTGAGCCCGTATCTTGGGACATTGCTGAAACTCACTTAGAGGTTCTCAGAGTGTTTTTGTAAATCCCTTGGGGTTTTATATAGAGACAATCATTATCTGCAAATACAGACAATTTTATTTCTTTCTTTAAAATTTGTATGCCTTCCCTCACCCCCCTCTAATTTTCTTCCCTCATTGCACTGGCTAGAACTTCTAGCACTGTGTTGAATCAAGGTGGTGAGAGTGGGCATTCTTGCCTTTTTCCTGATCTCAGGGGGAAAACTTTCAGCCTTTCACCATTAAGTATGACATAAAGGAGTCATTTTAAAATAACATCTTTTCATGATTACAAAAGTGATACATTATCACTTACAGAATATAGAAAAAAAGCATAAAGAACAAAACAAAATTATCTGAAATCCCATGATTCGTAGTTGACATTTGAGATCATACTAATAAACTGTATCTATTAGGGTTCTCCAGAGAAACAAAACCAGAAGGGGGTGTGTGTGTGTGTTTGTGTGTGTGTGTGTGTGTGTGTATGTAGGTGTGTGTCACGTAGTGAGAGAGAGGGGGAGATTTATTTTAAGCAATTGGCTCACATGATTATGGAGGCTGATAAGTCCAAAATCTGCAGGGTGGGCCAGCAGGCTGGAGACCCAGGGGAAGCAATATTACACTTGAAGTCCAAAGGCAGTCTATTGTTAGAATTCCCTCTTGCTTGGGGTAGGTCAATCTTATTTTCTATTCAGGCTATTTGGTTAAATGAGGCCCACCCACATTATGGAGTACAATCTGCTTTACTCAAAATCCACTAATTGAAATATAAATCTCATCCAGAGATCTTGTCATTTG